GCAACATTAATTTGGTCTTGCTTTGAAAAGTCTCTCGTGTCGTGGTGGTTTTGCTAGATATTCATGCACGAGAATGGCAAACCAAAGTTTGACTTTGACTTCTGATCACCCCTTGTTCAAATTCAAATTACTTTGACCTTTCTACTATCACAGATCTGTGAGCTCCGGATTCGATTAACAGGTTTGATAGCGCTACTGTCCAACTCAGTCTGAATAATGTAGATTGATTTTAGAATCTGTTTTTGCTAAATTTACACACACACACACACACACACACACACTCACTTGGCAACGTACAGTAATCAACAAAGTTACCCGTATTTCGTGTTTTAATTGATTAAAAGTCACTTTTAATTACTCCCCATGCAGAAATGACGAAAGTAGCATCAGATAATTGGAAAACATTTTGAAGGTATTTATATTTTCCCTCCATTTTTAATTTGTTGGCTATAATTTTTTTTATTAAATCTTTTTGACTTTACTTTTTTTACTGTAATATTGTTTTCTTAGCATCGTTCGTCCACAAAATCTAAAGATGCCTTTTTTTCTTTTACCATGAAATCTAAAGATGTTAATAGAGCAGAATTAAAGAATTTAATCATGAGAGAAAAATGTATAAATATCAAACTAACACTACCCAAAAAAAAATGGCAACAGAATTTTTGTCACTAATAAGAGAGTAGAAGCCTTACGAGAAAGAAGTATGACCCATTTCAAACAGTTTATAAGTAACTTTTTAATAGTGATTTATGGAATATGAGATAAGTATGTGAGAAGAGTTTTGTCTTGACTTACATAAAACGTGTTTATAGGAAATTTCTTAAACCCTCCCAAACAAGAACGTAGTATTTGTATGGGAGTTATTCTTCTATCTCACTAAGAGTATGTTTAAATTAGCGGTAGTAGAAGTAACTTTTTTTCAATTTGACTTTTACAGAAGTCAGATTGAATAAAAATCAGATAGTGTAATGTAATTTATATTTGGATTAGGTTTTGTAAAAAAGTCAGTTTGAAAAACTAAAATTTGTTTGGATGATTAATATAAAAAATAAGTTTTGATGTAAAATGACTGAAAAGGACATAAGTTTTATTATATACATTATATATGTATAATGTGATAATTTTAAGAAAATATTAAAATCAAAATTATAAAAATAGAAGGATTTGATGTATTATTGAAGAAGTTGTAAAATATTTTTTATTTTAATTATCATTTCTACATTAAAAATAAAAATAATAACAAATAAATGTGGATAGCATGGTCATTTTCTATGCAAATGGCACTTCTTTTGAGACAAGAGAGAGAGTATAATCCCACCCTCATTTTTTTTTCATCATGATTCCAAACAAAAATTTGTGGCCAAAAACTAGTTTTACCGGTGAGAAGTCAGTTTGGGACCATAAAACATGATCCCAAACACACTCTAAAGTGACTGCTATAGACTGGTCTTATCACATATGTCATGCATTATAAGAATTTGAATTTTAAATTATGAAGATAAAATTTTCTCTCAAGACCCATATTTTTTTTATTTACATAATACTCCCATTAGTTTTAGGCTTGGATCCTATTTTACCACGGGTGAACTAGCTATAACCCAACAAATTGAATTCTGTCACTACATTCGATGACATTTGTTGTACAACCATATAGCGTCTCTTTTGTGATTCTACATTGGATGGCTAGCAAATTGCTTATTGGATACCAGGTAGGCTCCAAAATCCTCAACAATTAGCAATAAATTTTTTTTCCATCGCCACTTTCACTGTTCCTAATTAATTACTAACAAAAACTTGTCATTAATTTATTACTAATTAGAAAAGAATTAGCAATGAAAATTTTGTCACAAATTAGTAATGAATTATTGACAAGCTAGCAACAGAAATTAGTGACTACGGTCACAAAAATCAGCACCTTTTTCAATACAGGACTACTAATGGGAAAAAAATAAAAATAAAATAATACTTTATATCTTTTATAATGTAATTTGTATTTGGAATAATAAAGGTCTTCTAGAGTGTGATTTATAATGAGAGAAGAGAGGCAATATATATTAACCATGTGTACCCTCTTTGTTAACTTAGTTTCCAACATAATACTACAATTGATTTTTAATATGAGAACTTGTTTGATTTTTATTTTAGTCATGAATATAAAGCTCAATCTACTTTTTTCTTTTTCATATTTATCTTTTTTTTTAAGTAATCCTTGTAATAATAGTAATTCTAACCAATATAATAAATTAGTAAGGATATTTTAGAAAAGATAACACCTATTTATTACAAATAACTAACTAAACTAATTTTTTTAATATACTCAAATTAGTCAACAAACTCTTATATTAAGGACCGGAGTTAATATAATCTATAGCCTCAAATATACGATGACAGCTCAAAATAAAAGAAGTAAACTTAATTATGTCGAAGCCTTATAGAGCGCCTAGAATCATGCTCCGAATATCTCCAGGGGATCAAGCCAGTCATAATCGAATGATGAATTAAGAAGAAGATGAGGGCATTAATACACATGACTTAGCCTAATTAATATGGATTAGTAGTGAAGGAAAGGTGACTATTAGTCATATATTAAAGTAATGTGGGCAGAAGATGGGGTTGAGTGAATGTTAATTTAGAAAGCAAACATGCCTTTTGACGAAAATATATGTTAATGATAATCATTTAGTAATATTAAATGGATAAATATGCTCGTTACGTGACGTAATGATTGAGAAGTCCAACGTTGCATTATGTAAGTTTAGAAAAGTCAACATTTCAAAGCCATGTGCTTTCCTTTTTTGAATCTTCAACGTTTTATCTGACCAACTGGTTTCATCTCTCTCTCTCTCTCTCTCTCTCTCTATCAAGATTCAGGTTTACTTCACTTTCACTGCAAACGAAAACGGCGATGCGATGGCGAATGGCAAAAGATTAGAGGGAGCATTACAAAACTAACGAGGCTCTAAGTAATTGTTATTTAGTGTCCTATAACTTATTATTGAAAGCTATTTTTTTATTATTATTAAGGCTTTTTAATAATTATATTTTTTATTCAAAATAAAAACAAAAAAAACTACTCTCCGGGTATCTAATTAACTAATTTGAACGGGTTTAAAATGTTAATTAAATTAATTAAATGATATATTCTTCTAAAACATCCTAAGTATCTTCCTCAATTTCTTTCTTCTTTCTTCTACTTGATTATTATTAGAAAAATATTAATAGGGTTAATTTGAGAAAAAAATTAATAAACGTGTGAAATAAGTTTTACATATAGGATTAACATTAATTTTCCAATTAAGTTCTATATTAAAGACCCAAAAATATTAAAGTTTCTTTTTCGTATTTTTAAAACTATTGATTTTTCGATTTCTGATGTTTATTGTTTTCCTAAAAGTTTATTCATTAATTTTTAATTCAACGCGTTTAACAAATAAATCTAAGTTTACAGCTTTAAATTTTACACACCCCGATCCTTTTTTTTCCCCTTTAAAATTTTTGATTATAGGGTGCGAGTTTCTTGCTTTGCGCAAACGGATCATGGACTTGGGGTAATAAATCACGTAGCTTTCTACAAAATTTTGGATATATATTAATCTTATGTATTCATATATCGAGGTTATTTTTGAAAATGACATTCATATTTTCATTACTCTAGACTCTCTGATAAATCATTTTCTATTACCATAAACAGAATACTTGAAAAATATGACTTACTTTGTTTTCATGAAGTCCACTTCATAAATTTAGAGTTCGTAATTTCAACATTTGAACGCTGGCCAAAAAAAAAAAATCAACATTTACACTTTCTTGGGTTGATAAATTATTAAGGGTTAAGATGGATCCAATATCTCGAAGTATTTTTTTTAGTGTATCTAATATCCCGAAATATTTTGTGATACATCTAATGCTTTGAAATATTTTTAGGTACGTCCTGCATCCTGAAGTTTTTTTTTTTGCTTTTGTGCTAAATGCACCAAAAAAATATTCTTTGAGTGTTAGATACACTTAACGCTATGTTTGGTACGGGTTTTTTGAAAGAGAGGGGAGGGGAGTTACTCCCCTCCCCTTGTTTGGTTGAAATATTTTTTATAGAGGGGAGGGCTTCTCCTTCTTCCTATTCCCTTCTAGCCTCCCCTCTAAAAGTGGGGTTTTTTGAAGGGGAGATAAGAGATAAATTTTATATTCCCAAATTAACCTAACTAAAATATTTTAATTCCTCTTCTTGTCTTTTCAACCCTTTTATTTTTCTGCACCCTAATCTGCTACGCTCACACCCAAGAAGCTGCCGCCGCCTATTGAGTCCATCATTCTCGTCTTCTTCCAAGCTTCAGGTGCATGTTCCTTTTTATTTATATCTAGTTTTCTGCATGATTTTTGAAGTCAGCAACTGAAAGGCTACAACACCCAAAAATTGTATTATACATATTTATATCTTGACAAAATAAAAAATTGAGAAATTTTATTTTAATTTTATAAGGTGAAAATGGTCAAATTTTGATCAGCTTCCCTTCCTTCCCCTTCCCTACCCTTCCAAACCAAACAAGTTATCATTAAAATCCCTCTCCCTCCCTTCCCCTTCCTTTCCTTCTGTTGAGCCAAACACAGCGTAAAAAAAAATAATTTGAAGTACCAAATACACTAAAAAATATTTTACAGTGCAAGACGCATCTAAAAAAAACTATTTTAGAGTACTAGATACATTACAAACTACTTTAAAATGATAGATATACCTTAACTTAATTTAATAATACGCAATTCTTCGTTGGTTTCAAAGGGAAAGCTATTGTCGTGCAATTATGAGGTAAACATAGAAGCACGTAGAAGATGTTGGATTTGAATTTTGTAATTTAAAAAGGTCCTGTCCAAATTATTTTTTCCCCAATTAAAGTAATTCAACTGACATTTCAATTCATTTAATATATTACATTTCGAAGGATTTATCCAACATAAATACAAACACAACTATTAAATTAAAATTAGTTTGTACTTTTTGTAGGAGCGAACATGAATAGTGGTAATTTGTCACCAAAAATCAAATAAATTGGATCAATTAACATTGCTTACTAACAACATCAAATTGTACAATGGCTCTTTTTTTTTTTCCTGGGCAAAAAATTGCTCTTAATTTCAATATTTCATACAACCATAAGCTGCGGACAGCCCAAAGGCGGATGTGGAGATAACGGTGATAGCGGCGGGACTGGGAATACATCCTTCAAATCGTTCTCCCAGAATCCCATCCACGTTGACGGCGTTAACGGCATATCCCTCATCCTTCCCACGTCAGATTCCGTCGTTTTCTCTTTCTTCACCACTGGTTTCACTTCCATTTCAGCCTCCGCCTCATCATCTTCCCGCCGGCGTTTTTTCTCCTCCGTGCCGTCCGTCGAATCGGAGGTCGCTACTTCGAGGGGGAAATTGAGAATGGCTTTTGAGCCTCGAAGCTTAAACGCGGCTCGGTCGTAGGCTTTTGCGGCTTCGATCGCTGTGTCGAATGTTCCGAGCCACACCCTAGATCCACGTTTGTTCGGGTCCCGGATCTCGGCTGCGAACTTGCCCCAAGGTCTCTGTCGGACCCCTCTGTAGTGCCTTTTCTCTTCATGGTTTGAATTATTCTGCTCGAACATTTCTGAAACCTCCTGTTGTTGATCCGTCTTTCCAAATTGGATCCACTCGGTTTTTTTGGGTAGCGTAATTTGCAGAGATGTTTTCCGATTGGAATGAGGTCTCTTCTCGACGCTTTGGGGTCTAGTTTGAAACTCAAACATGCAACTGCTGGGCTGTGAGCCAGAGCTTGATGTTGCCTGTGAGTTTGATTCGAATTGGGAAAAATTGGCGTCAAATCGTGAAGTTTCGGTCTCGAATTTAGGCGTTGAGAGGTCAAAGACTTGATTTTTGAACTCGAACTCAAATAGATTAGAGGAGTTGGATGGAAATTCGAATAGCTCAGGGAGGTAATCGGACACAGTGAGAGAAGATTCAGAGCTCGATGATTGACAGAGAGAGTCAGAGTTAGAGCTGGAAATTGCTCCGTTTGACTCACCAAACCAGAATTGTTGGGTTGCATCGCTCGCTGAACTGCTACGGCCACTGGAGAAAGTGCCAACAGGAGACAGTTCACCTAGAAGATGCAATTTTATACGATTGAGGGCTGAAAGTTCAACGTGGTTTGCCATGAGTATGACTTAGACGAAATCAAACTATATTGCAGAATCGATCTTTTGAAGGAGAAGAAGAGGAGGAGGAAGAAGAAGAAGCAGAAGGTTATGAATGATTGAGAGGAGATAGGGTTGCTCCAGGTTGAGTGAATCAGAGAGTGGAAAAAAATGATATATATAGACGAAGAAGGCGAACTTTTCAACGGGTGCTCCGATGGAAGGAGGAAGCTTCCCCTGCCCTTCTCAATCATCCTCATTTTATTACCCTACGGGGAGGAACACCGAGTGACGCTGTTCTACAACTTTTCTGCCCTTAGATTGGATAAGAGACCCGAATGTATGCTGCATCGACGGTAGAGCGTTCGAGGTAAGGATTTACAAGTTGGGAGCTTTTGGACCAATGGCTATTTAATTTTATTTGCTATACCTTTTGGTACTTTTGTCGTTTGCGCTCCCTTTCGTCGAGTCTTCTTGAAAAGGAAAAGGCAAGGAGACTGGGAGAATGGGAGTGGGAGTGAACTGAAGTAAAATTAATGGCGTTTATGTATAATAAGCAAATTTAATAGCACTTTTATTGTTTGATTATAAGGGGAAAAAAGGCTTGAAGGTTAAATCTTGAAAATATGATGTAAATTGACGGTTAATATTCTTGAGATAATCGTTGAGTTAATATATTTTCCAAAAGCAAAGAAAGAACCTGACGATATGGTCTCTGTCTCCCTGATGAGTAAGAAAATAAGTTTCTATAATTGGAGTTTATCTTGTGTGTGCCATGTGTTGTGTGATTGAATTTTGACTATTATTATATAAAATTAATCTTGCAACTTCAAGTAAAAAAATTTCATAACATTTTATTTAGGGTTAATTAATCCGCAAGTCCTTATAGTTTCAACGAATTTTGAATTAGGTCCCTATAGTTTTTTTTCTTTTTATCAGGTCCTTATACTTTTATCTTTTTTAATTAGGTCCTTGTATTTATTTTTCTTTAATTAAGTCCTTATAATTTCACTAAATTTTTAATCAGGTCCATGTAGTTTTAATTTTTATTATTAATTAAATATAAACTTAATTAAATAGATTAATACTGAAATATAACATATTAATAATTAAATTAAATTAATAATTATGTAATAAAAAAGTAATAGAATTAATTAATTCAGGAAAATTTTTTTAGAACAATTAATTTTTTTGCTGAAAAAATTAAAATCATTATAATAATTCAATATCTTTAGAATATTATTGTTTATAAACTAATATTAAATAATATATACTATTTTATGTTTATATAATAGTACTATTAGAATTTATAAAATAAAGAATAAAAAATTCAGGGACTTAATTAAAAATAAGGTGAATTTATAAGGACTTGATAAAAAGAAAAATAAATACAAGGACCTAATTAAAAACAGGTGAAAGTATAAGGATCTGATAAAAAGAAAAAAAACTATAAGGACCTGATTCAAAATTAGTTGAAACTATAAGGAGCTGTGGATTAATTATCCCTTTTATTTATTTTTATTTTGCTGAATTTTCGGCGACATTAATGTTTATTATGTGACATGTTCGTTAACTCCAATTAAAATACATTACGACTTTCATAGGCATAAAAGACTTCTACCTATTAAAATACATTACGCCAATGTCTCATTATCCTGTGGTTAGGCACTAATGATTGGATGCAAAGAAGTGCTAAAAGAAACCGAACTTAAGTGTATGGCTCATCATTCATGAATTGCAAAATTTATACTTGAAACATTTTAAGGAAAGAATATTATTTAGCTTTCCTTGACCCAGCTCCTGTCTTTAATTTTCTGCCGAATTTGTTGCTGATACCTTTGATTGAGTTCTCATGAAACTGGGTCTAACAGCGTTGGAATAAGTGAGAAGATATGAAACAGTCAATGGTTGCAGGTTTCTTAATGATCCATTTGTTTCTGTCTCCTGGCCTGTTTCCAGTTTCAACTACTTCATATTTTATGAATAGATAATACAGTGTGGGACCAAAGAGGCTGAGGGAAGGGAATCCTGTTCCGGACTTTTTGTTGTTGAAATTATCTTCCTTACAGAAGTTAATGAAATGGAACATAGGACTAAGTCTAATTTCTTACCAAGTCTTGGACACGATGAAGAAGCTTTTACAGCAATATCAAATTAATCCTGGATGCTGCCGGACCATATCATTGGCTTCATCACGTAAAATTTGATCTCAACCATGTCCTTGTGACAGAGTGCCTTTTGCAAGGAAAGCAGTCACAATTTGAATAACTGAAGAATGAAGTCATCAATAAATATCCTTTTAATTGCTCTACTTGCTGAAGTTAATCCACTCCTCATACATACTTTTAAGTGAATATTCATTGGTATAGCTTTTCCAGGAAATGAATATTCAGTATGTCGATCAGATATGTTTATGCGTAAGTAGTTTTACAGGTTCTAGGAAATGACCAAGTCAAATAATATTAAGTCTGAAAATGCTGAATAGATTTCTTGCTTTACTTGTTATTGACCTGATTGGAAAGCATGTCTCTTGCATGACAACTACCAGAAGCTTTAATTAAAACAAATAACCATCTGGAATGAGGTCATGCATTAGATACCACTCTACTATTTGCTTGCGGCAACGGGAATGAGATGATGAGGAAAAATGAGAAGCAGGAGAAAATAAATCTAACTCAGTACATGACATCTTTAAAGTGATTTTCCTTGAGCTAATGTTTGATGTTTCCCTTAATACTTCCATGCTCAAACTAACCTCTCTCTTCCTTTGTGAAGTTTATATCATGAGCTAAATAAAATGCTAAATGCGCTACCTACTAACTTTTGTCTCTTTTAATCTTTTCTTATCTCATGCTTGGAGCTGTATTATGTACCATAGAACAAACCATATCACCATATATAACAGTGAAGTTACTATGAAAAAAACAAAGCCTAAATTTATTTTATACTTCTTTTTGGCAATCCACACAGGAATCACAGACGGGTAAGAAAGAACTCTTCCTAGGCTCCGTCCATTCTACAAAAGGGGTATGTTGTGAAAGACAAGGTATTTATGAATCTAGCAAATTCTTTCTCTTTGCTTTATGATGGAATGCCAAATTTTTCAAATGCTGGTTCCTTTTTTAAATTTCTAAATCATGCTTGTGAAACAAATGATCAAACACCTCCCCTCTGTCATTCTGATCTGTCATTGAATTTGAAAATGCCACATAAATGATCTCATGCTTTCGTTTGTTATGGAATTTTACCTAGTCAACAAGTTGAGTTTTATAATGACCTCAATATTCATGGGCGCGAGAAATTGGAAAATGAAGCCAAATCCTCACTTTAACCTCTTAAAGTGTCTCTTGGGGTCATCATTTCAGTAATTGGATTTCACATCTTGATCAATGGCTTTGTTGTTGCACTCCCTTGGACGGTGCACAATATATGGGAGGGAAAGACTGTTTCTGCAGATAAAAAGAAAGATTTTGAAATAAGAGTGGTAGTGATTGCAAGCCTTTTTTAAATTGAACTGTAGCTAAAATGATGAGCTCCTTTTGATTTGTCAGATATTACTAGTCCCCTCCATTTTTAAGCACTGCATCTACTGTTGTGTCCATGATGGACATTTTTCTTACCCTTGTAGCTGAGAGATGAAAGTAGAAAATTTCTTCAGCCGTCATAAGATTTTTAGTTTCTGACACCATCATTTTCCCAGGAACCAAAAAGGGAGGAGACAACTGTTGATACTTGTGCGTGTCTTTCTCTTTATTAAGCAGTCTAATTTTATTCTGCTAGAACAATTAATTTGTAGCTTTTCTCTATTAGTACTGTTAGCCTCTGTTCAAAAGCTAATTATACTAATGAAACAACACCATGATGTTTATTTTCTCCAAAAAAAAAAAAAAATTATACTAGTAGTGTTTATTTAAGAGAGAAAAATACACAGGTATCAAATTAAAAATTGAAAAAAACTCTAGGCATTAGATACTTACACAATGGTTTTCCCTTGAAATGGAGCCCACCCTTTAGCTCAGTATCATTTGGTGATTTACTGGTTCCTCAAATATTCCTGAGAAAGGATATTGAAGAAACATGCTGAATGTGCGGTCTGTCTCATACGCCTTTTAGCAGTAATTGTGTGACGTACTTCTCAGTCTGATTAACCTCGTCCTTGGAGATTGGCAGACCCTAAAAACTAAAAAGGTTTGTAGAATATGAGATCTTTTTTCCATTTTTAGTCATCATCATGGAATTTTATCATTCCATTTATGAACAGACAAAGATTAGGTAGAAATGAACACGATTAGACGTAATTTGGGCCCAACAAGCCTAACAGGCTAGCCGACCTTGGAGGATAATTGTCTCCAACATGTTCCTTGTGGATCGCGGACACATACAAATTATCATTGAATTTTCTGGCCCAAGAAAGAAAAATATGTGAAAATGATAAAATGACAAAATGCAAATAAAATAAAGTAGAAAGTTGATACTTTGTCTGTGTGCCTAATTATCTTTTCCTCTGTTGTGTCATTGGATGCTTGCTGAATGCTGATTTCTCCTTTTATATAAAGGCTCGTTCACTTTATTGACTTATTTTCTGCACTTGTCAATATTTTATTGGATTATATACAGTGTTTTGGAATCGGACACATCGACATGTATAGCTCCAGCCTCCATGATCACTCATTGTTCTGTTCTGAAAAACAGTAAGCACTTAGAAACAAACAAACTCGGATCGATTAATTAAACAACTCAAATTTGAATTCTCTTCCTGGAATTTCTTTTACTAATCAAATAAAATCTCTGGTTCAGGATTAAGGAACGTCGACCGCGGACCAACTCCAGTAAAGTGTAAAAGCAGAGACGGATCCAGCAAAACAGGTATGCCCAGTATTATATTATTATTATTATTTTATGAATGTGGTTCAAACTTTCCAGCTTGGAAAAATCAAACTTCTTTTCCCTTTTACCTTTCAGTGATAAACAAGAAAAATATTAACAAATGAGTATTCCGCCCACCTAACATAAAGCATGTCTTTTATGTACACACTTCCTAGTGGCGATTCTTCGCATGTGCATAAATCATCACCCTTCAGTTAGACATCATAATCAAAATTATCAAGAGTTGAAATATTTGAACGTCCAGCTACTAGAGAATGAAGGGCATAATCAAATCAAACTATCCAAAATATTCTAAGCAGGTTGTTTAATAATACTTGTGTCATTGTCAAGGTGCTGCGTGCTATTATTGATGTATTAGATTAAGATATGTTACTTTCGGTTCTTAATATAAGATCTCATTAACTGATTTGGAAAGATTAAGGAAATTGCTAAATTACCTAATCATAGTATATGTTACATGATCCTTCTAAAATAATTATGTATTTTATTATATTATATATTAATTTTTAAGTGATGCAAATTAGTTTGGAAAACAATAAATATAAATACTTTAAGTTAATTTAATATTTTTTTAATCTTTCTAAATTACTTAGTTGATTGTTATATTCAGGACTTTACATGTAGTGGTAAAGAAATGAACAAACAAGTGGGCCTCTGTTTTTCAAACTAAATATCCGGAAATATTTCTTGCCGTCTTAGCAAACTACTTCCGAATATATCAGCTTGGCCACCTTAACCTAAGCTTTTCTTTTTTTCAGCTGAAAAAATTATGTTTAATGTATTTTTGTTTTATTTGTTTAGGGAAAACCATATTGGAGGTACTTATACTTTCTCTCAATTTTTAATTTGGTACCTATGTGTTTTTTGTTCTTAATTAAATCTTTAATTTTGTTCTATTAACATCATTAATCCTTATGTAGAGACTAAAAATATCAATAGAACAAAGTTATAAGAGCTAATGTTGTTAAAAAGATAAAATTAAATGTTTAATTAAAAGGGAAAAAAGCACATAGGTACCAAATTAAAATTTGAAAGAAAGTATAGGTACCTTCAATATGGTTTTCCCTATTTGTTTATGAATATGTCACCTCACTATCATCTACTTGATATAATTGAAGGGCTGTAGCCGCAAATTGTAGATATGGTATATCCTTAGAGGAAATTATTCTTAAGTAAAATTTATAAATTATTTGCTTGATCAATGTATTTGGACCCATTTTAGAGAGATAGAGACAGACTAGAACTTGAATTTGAAATGGTAGCATTGAATTGAATATAATATTTTTTTCAGAGAGGAAACACGTGGTTTTTGCTCAATCATTTAGCGTTTAAATATAGTTTCTGTCATTAAAAAAATTGCACAACTTGCCAATTGATTGGAATTTTTATATTGAAAAGAATTTCAACTTGTTTGAATTAAATTATTCACATAATTGTGCGAGATAAAGCCAAGCTTTTTTGGTTGGAATTTTCGTCCAACAGCTATTAGTTTACTAATCGCCGGGGCAAAAGCCAGACTTTTCTTTTAGCCAGAGGAGATACCCCCACACGCACACAACGTACATATGTACACATTATTGAAAAAGATTCTCATATTCAGATTAAATAAATTAATGCCGACCCCATGCATTAAAAAAAAAAGTCTTTCTTAAATACTATCTTTGGTCCTTAACATAAGAGGTAGCTGACTAATTTGACTACATTAAAAAATTAGTTAAGTTGGTTATCTGTAATAAATAAGTATTGTTTTTTCAAAAATATCAAAGTTAGAGTTACTATTATTATAAGGGCTATTTTGAGAAAAAAAATAAATAAGTATGAGAGATAAAATAAAGTGGAATCTTATATCAGGACCAAAATAAAAGTTGAACGAGTTTATATATTAAAAATCAGAGGTAGTATGACTTATTTTATTCGCTAATCAATCTTTTATGAATTATCAATTAATTTAAATTAAGAAAAATGTGGAGATTAGAGAAAAGTTGAAGGAAAATTGAAAAATATTTAACAATTAGGAAAATATATATTAAAAGGAATTAAAAATAAAATAAGCCAAGAAAAGAAGAAAATGGTGATTCAGTCTTTGAAACTTTAGTCTCCTACCCGGCTTCAGTCTTTGATCCCTCTAATCTCTTGTTCTTTCTGTGATCCTAAATGCCTTGTTTATCATTAAAAATAAGGACATATATTTAATTATAAAATTCAAATCAGTCAAATTGAAAAAAGAAAAAAGAAAAAAAGGCCACAACATTAAGAAATAGGCGCATGCTTAGAATAGAAAGAAGAGTTACGTGGACTATCCTCTGATATTCTCGGATTTCACGGCCATTCCATTTCCATAATTCTTCAATTTTATATAGCAGTATTTTCTTATTTTGGAGTTTGAAAGCTCAAAGGTTAACAATAGTACAGAATATCTTGGTAAAAAACAAAAAACAATAGTACAGAATAGTGACGAAGTGATGAGGCTATAGAGAGAGAGAGAGAGGCTCAAAAATTGCGGTGAAGCGCACGTGTTGGTGATTGGCACGTAGCAATTAATGAGTACTGACATTTCTACGTGGTTGGTTAATAATGAGATGACAAATGAAAAATTATTCAAGTCAATAGTCAAAGGTCGTAACTTCTCTTGTTTTGTGGTCTTTGGTCAGCTTCCTGCGTGCCTCTATAATTCTTATAGATAAAGACATAATATTTTTTATTAAAATATTTTTTATTTTTTTAATGTTTTTCAAACAATATTTTATGCTTTCTAATTCTTATTTTACCTTCATTATGTCTAATAATTCAGTTTCATAGAAATCTCTGTAATCTTAATTAGGTAAGTATTGTAACACCTTATTTTTTCCAAACATACTTTAATACTATCTCTAGATACTATCTTTGATTTTTAATATAAGAGTTAAATAATTAATTTATAAAAATTAAAAAAATTGGTTAGATTAGGTAGATATATTAAACAAATATTATCTTCCCTCACATGTCTTTGTTAATCATTATCACTTGATGAAAATCTCTTAACATGTACAATAATTATAAGGATTATTTGAGAAAAAATAGATAAATATTGAATATAAAGTAGATTGACATATTGTATTTAAAAATGAATTAAATTGCTAATTAACTTTTATATTAAAGGCCAGAAGTAGTATTATATTATGGTATTTGAATAAAAAGAAGTATCATAATAAAACTAATATAAAATAGATAAATATTGAATACAAAGTAGATTGAGATATTGTATTTAGAACTGAATTAAATCTCTAATTAAATTTTATATTAAAGACCAGAAGTAGTATTATATTATGGTATTTGAATAAAAATGTATCATAATAAAACTAATATAAGCTCAATAATAATTCATTACCATGGTTGAAAATGAAGACGGCCAGATTTAAAAGTTTACCAGTCTTGTGTTTGCTAATAATTTCGATTGACGTTACCCGGTTGGTAATATATGTACGCATTTGTGTATCTGTTTTGACTTTTAATTGATGCATCAAATTAATTTTTTTTTCCTTTGTTTGTGGCATTTTGTTTTCCGCTTTAATGCAATTACCATAAAAAACAGGTATTTGTAAATTAATTATTGGGTTAAGGTTTCAGTACTTCTAAGTATTTTTTTAAGTGCATCTAATACCTTGAAATATTTTATAGTATATTCAGCACCTAAAAATATTTTTTTGAAGTATTTAAAGTATTTTTTGGCACATTTAGTATTGGACGCATCAAAAAATATTTTTTTGTGCATCACAATTTTTTTTTAAAATATTAAATATATTTAAAAAAATATTTTAGGATATTAAATACATAAAAAAGAAGTAGTGTTAACCCCTAATTATTTATAAGTTATTAGGTGCCGACATCGAAAGTGAGACAGCATCTAAATAAAGTACTTCGACAGTGGATGTGGATCCACTTGCACATTGTAGGGTCAGTTATTGTACTCCCCAAGTCAGGGATTAGATAACTAATTTATAAAAATTAATAAATTAGTTATTTATTAAAAATAGATATATAATTTTTTAAAATTAAAATAATTATCAAAAAATAGAATTTCTTGTACAATATGTATAATAATGTGAATAGTTTAGGAAAAAATTATAAATTTAAAAAATATTAAATGAAGTTTTATATTTACAATTAAAATTATTTTGTAAGTAGGTCTTATATTTAGTATTGAGGAAGTAGTAGTTATAATAAAACAAATAAATATGATCTGCAGGTAGAACAGACGAAATGAAAAAAAAACCAAAAAAGAGAGTAAATTAGTCATATTCGAATTTCACTACAAGATGAGTTAAGTGGGACCCCATGAAAGTAAAATTTTAGTGACAACAGTTCTTTCCATATATAAGATCTGGACGATAAGATTTTGTTTAAAAGAAGTAAATGCTGAACCACTTAAATTAACTGTAGTTGATGTGAATTTCTATTGTTTAGAATATCTTTAATAATGTGACGAAATTAACTGATAATCAAAAAAGACTATGCTCAAGTCAATGCGCTTATCCATAGTTAATTCACACTGAGCAACAAAGCATGAAGTGCAAATATGAAATGCTCCAAGCAAGTCCAATTAAAAGATACCAACTCAAACCCATGAAAGTTGACAAGCCAGCCAGCGAGATTATGGGGCTTGCCAATTAGTGGTGCTCCTATTTTGCAGATATCTTATCAGTTAATTAAACATGATAATGTGAATTTTGAATTGTGAGCGTGACACATATATATATATGTATATGTATATTATATTGTATATGTGCTTCATCCAACTCCTTCTATGAGATTCAAAAATTTTAAGGGACTCTGAAAGTTTTTTTGGCTTTTATATATCATGACAAGTTTCATTTCATAGCAAAAATACCCCTGGCATCTATTATTAAGTTTGACCGTTAAATTCGTGATAGAAATACTATGAAATAAAACTTTCAGACATATAAGAGCAAAAAAAAAAAAAAAAGATACTGGATGCTCTTTTGTGGACATTTCTGAGACATTTAAGCACCTTATCCTAACTTTTAATATTTGTCTCTTTTAAGAAAATTCACTTTGGGATTATTTGACCATTAGATGGATTTTTATTAATTTTATGTCTAATTGATTTTCTTCATGTCACCTTAGTTCTAAATGTAAGGCTCTTATAGGGAAAAATTTTAATCTTAAATGTAAGTCTATTTTTAGTATATTTTATGCTTACTTTTCAATTTTGCCTTTATTTAATTTTCATTAAAAAGGAAAAAAAGAGGGAAGAGATGTGTGCATTATTTGTAAACGTAAAGAAAGAAATTTAATAAGAGTAAAATTAGAAAATGTTGTCAATTTAATATATTCCCTCATATATAAAAATATGTTACAACTGACTTATATTAAGGATCTCATTCACCCACTTACAAATAAGGATATCCTAAAAAATACTCATAATACTCAATTTCTTATATACTACCTTCGATTTTTAATATAAGAGCTAGTTGACTAATTGTAATAAATTAAAAAAATAATTAAATTAGTTATTTGTAATAAATAAGTATTAGATTTCCTCAAATATCATTATTAATCAATATATTGGTTAGGACTGTTATTATTATAAGGACTATCTTAAAAAACATTGATAAATATGAAAAATAAATTGAATTAAAGTTGTATATTTAGGATTAAGATAAAATTTAAATAAATTTTTATATTAAGAACAGAAGGTATTATTAATTACTTTAAACTAATTTTAATAATTTTTTCAAATTACGTAATTTTGGATGTTGGGGGAGCGGGGGTATTCATTAAGCAAATGGGCGACCTTCCAGGAAAGTGGAGTATAAACGCCCGCGCACACAGTTACTTTGCAGTGAATGAATGTGGGACCCACAAAGGTGAAACCTACTAATAGGAGGGAAGGCTTGTGGACTGACTTTGCAACGAACTTATCCACAAGGCAATGCAGCTCGCTCTTTCCCTGTCCACAATCCATGTATCCCCATTCCTGTCCCAACTTGCCTTGTCCTTTTCTGTATCCTCCCCGCCACGTAACCCCCCCATCCGCAATGCCTCGGCGTCGTCGGCGATTCTACTGCGTGACAAAAGGCCAACCAAGTTGTGTGCCCTTGTAATGCCCGTGACGTCACGCCTTGCCTTTTTTTTTTTTATTACAGAAATTCTCAATAAATAAAATGCACGTGATCAAATACTTTCCCAATTTCCCCACAGCGCTCCGCATTTTGCACATTTGTGAACCTTCGGAGAAGCTCAGCCCGCGACTTCAGCTATTGAAATTTAATAAATAATTATTAAAAAAAAATATCTGCTTTTTCATCTTTCATGTCCAGATTCATGAACCTGCTGCCTTATAAATACCTCCTTCTTCAATCCCTTCTGATTTCAGACTTCGAATATTCAATTCCTTCTTAATCTTCTTCTTCTTCCTCCCTCTCTGTGTTCCTCACTCTGGACGCCACGCAGATGCCAGAATCACTCGCCGGAGGAAGCGATTGGGGCGGCGATATGTATGGACAGGCGAATTATGAGTCGGATTTCGCCTTCTTGGAGTCAATTCGACTCCTGCTCGGTGACTTTGAGGCTGTTTCTGCTGATTCGGATACTTCTTCGGGTTCCGCTCCGGTTTACACTCGGAGCTCCAGCTTCAGCAGCTTGTACCCGTGTTTGACGGACACTTGGGGTGAGTTGCCGCTCAAGGAGGACGATCCCGAAGACATGGTGCTCTACGGCGTTCTCCGCGATGCCGTCAACGTCGGGTGGGTTCCATCTCTCGATGTCGGGTCACCCGAAAGCATTTCTTCTGGTTTCGCCCCGACTATTACAGTAAAATCGGAGCCCGATCTTTTGCCGGTTTTGGATTCCCCTGCGAGTCCTCCTGTGGTAAAGCAAGAGAAGGTGGTTGAGGCAGTCGTACCCGCCGCAGTTCCGTCGAAGGGCAAGCATTACCGAGGAGTAAGACAACGACCATGGGGGAAATTCGCGGCGGAGATCCGTGACCCGGCGAAGAACGGAGCTCGGGTCTGGCTCGGAACATTCGAGACAGCCGAAGACGCAGCTCTAGCTTACGATCGTGCCGCGTACAGGATGCGAGGCTCACGCGCTCTGCTGAATTTTCCACTGAGAGTGAATTCAGGCGAACCCGACCCGATTAGAGTGACATCAAAGAGGTCATCGCTGGAGAGATCGTGGTCGCCGACGTCGTCGTTGTCGTCGGAGAGCGGGGCATCGCCGAAGAGGAGGAAGAAGGTGGGGACAGTCTGAAAGGCAACAGGGCAAGTGGGAGGCCAAGTGGGAACGACGTCGTGCGGACGTGGAGGAGAGCTATTGGTGAGCTAATGCGTAATGCTGACAAGGAAAGCAAATTGGCTCTGAAATGTCCTTTTTGGTGTTTGTAATTATGTGAGTAGATGCGCGTGCCCCTCACTCTCCGGCACATCGGAATTTTGAACCCAAAAAAAAAAAGAAGACAGAAAGAGAAAAATAAGTGAGTGAGATGGGGTGGATTTGGATTTGTGAATAGAACAATTTATTTGTTTGTTGAATATTATAATGATAATTAAGAGGAGTATTTCAATTTGAACTTGGACTCTTGGCCCCTCTTTTTGTTTCCTCAACTAACTCCCCAGTTCTTTTGGGGCGTAAAGAAAAAGCAACACAAGTACCCAAATGGCTATCCATTAAAAAGTCTCGTGTTGGGGAATTTGTCTGAACTTAAACAGGAGTTATGGATATCATGCACCAATCCTTTTATAGTATGCCAAATGTCCAATGCTTCTGCACTCATGTTTATCTTTTCAGTACTTTTTTAAAAAAAAAAAATTTCTATTTACAAGAAAACTTTCGTGCCATTAAATTCTAAAGGCAAAAAAATAACTAAGTATCTTTTATAGTTTTGCTTATATTATCACTCAATTTTTAAACCCTAACTCCATATAAGTTAGTCTTAGAGCTTATTACAACTCAATCTTTATAATTTTAAAGATTTAAAATATTAATCCCTATGCTTTAAGAAATAACTTTAAGAGTAAAATAACATTTGACGCTCAAATTTTATTTGTGGTACACTTAGCACACTAACGTTATTTTTACGGTGCGTCCAGGACTGTAGATCATAAATAAGATTAGAGTGTTAAATATAAAAAAAAAGTTGAGGATGCTAAATGTATTATAAATAAGATTAAGCTATTATGATACTGGATGCTACTAAAAAATAATATTAAGGTGTTAGATGTTACTTTATCCTAACTTTAATCCTTATAATTTTATTTTCTAAAAGAGACCAATATTTAAATGATTAAATTTTAGGAATTAAATTACATTGAGTCAAAATTCTATAATTGAGTTTTACTCCTTTTATCCTACTTATAAGTCACTTTCAACATGTTTCATATAGGTCAAGAAAAATCTTAAGCTTCATTAAATCTCATTTAAAACCAAATAACTTTTCAACTTTATCTCTATTTAGTATACATTATATATTGTGCAAACAAAATTAACATAATAATAAATGAAAAGTAAAATTACACATTCATATGAAAATGTATTCTCTTCGTGCTGTATAAATAGGACCAAAGAAGTAAGTTCTAATAGGGTCAAAATTATAAGAATTGGATTTTTAACTAAATCAAGATAATAGGTTAACTGTAACTGTGATGTTATTGCTCTCATTTGGTTTCTTTGATTCTCAACTTCATCAAATCCAATTTCAAAATCAGGTTAAACTTTGGAAATAAGTTACATGTTTTAAATTTCTCTCTAGTTACTTGGTCCCTTACAAAAATGATACAAATGATCCCACCTCAACGTGTTGAATAAATGAAAACTCCAAGCAGCTTTCTTGGACATTCTAAACTCTAACCACACACACATTCACTGATATAAGAGAACACACGGCATCCACACGCTTGAATTGAAAAATCTAAGCAAGTTGACAATTGAAGGACGACGGTTTTCCTTTTCTTTTTTTTCTTTTTTTTTTGTGAGTGAAAGGATGACAGTTTTCTTTGGATAAGAAGATTGACCAAATTAAATTTGTAAAATCGGTGGGCGCACATGGTATTGTGCAAGACGCAGCGTTTTAATTGTGAATGGGAATATATTATGGGCACGAGTTTTATAATTCGAACCTTGAACATTTTAACAATTGTGTCATTTTTTTTTTTCTTCAATAATTTTGCTCATTGAGTTCGCTTTCAAAAGGAACGGTGCAGCACGCGTGCCTTGCACGGGTCCACCCGTCATTATTGTTTATTGTGATGCAACTATCCCAACTTGTCCGTTGCTTTTCTTCTTTCTTTTTTCAAAAAATTATTCAAAGTGTACACTAATAAATAGAAATAAAATTGGAATTATTTTTATTAATAACTCTCTAAATACCTCAAATTTCATTTAACCATTTAAGTTTAAAAAGTATACTTTTAATTTACTAATCTTAATCTAATGAAAAATGCTGACTCCTTCAATTTAAATGTTGACATTACAAATTAAATGTGCACAAAGTATGTTTTAAATTTCAATTCTTTAATTTAGTATAATTATTATGATGAATCCTATAACTTAATTTGGCTTCTTTTTTTTTTTTCGTCTCATGATGATTGCTTTTATAAATTAGGAGATTTTCTTTATAAACTATATTATATTAGCATTTGAAAATTAAACTTAATATATTAGTATTTAAAAATATTTTATTACTATTTAAGATCTTAAATTTATCATTTTTTATTAATAATTTTTATATTAAAGGACCAAAGTATGTCTTTTAAAGTTAGGAACCAAATTGAAATCTTATATAAAATTAAATAACTAATTATATACTTTAGCCCATGATTGAAAATGGTATTTTAGAAAAATTAACTTGTACTTGTTACTAATAACTAAGTTAATTAATTTTCTTAACATACTCAAATTAGTTAAGTAGTTGTTATATCTCCGATCCTTAATATAAGATTTAGTTGAATTAGATAGATTAAAAAAATTACTAAATTACTTTAACATATTTATATTTATTATTTTTTAAAAGCTGATTTGACTCACTTATAAATTAATATATAATCTAATAATATGCATAAGTATTTTAGAAATATAATGTAATATAATTGGGTCTTATATTAAAAATCATTAAAAATCAGAGGTAGTAAGAATTACATATAGTTTAACTTGAAAATTTTAGTAAAAATCTTAAGAGTTAAGATGTTGCATAGAACTAGTAAATATGCACCTCACACCGTAATATTTATTTGGGTGTAAAAATATTTATTAAAATTTTAAAGGAATGCAAACGTGTCATAACCATTAACTTAAACACATGTCCATTAACTTTTATAAAATAAACAGACGAGAAACCCACTATTAAAAAGTAGCCTATGTTTGCTTAAATAAACCGTTGTAGCATTTTGTCATCCTTCTAAAATTTTTTATGAGCATTTTTATAGCCAAACGAATATTATAGTGCTAGGTGTGAATTCGCAAATATTTCATAAAAAGTTTAAATCTTAATCCTAAAATAAATTAAAATACTGCTTACTCATTATTTTAATTATAAGATTTTATTTATAAACTATGAAGGTTTTAATTAAAATAGGAGGTAGTACAATATAATATTTTTATTCTTAAAATTTATTAAGAAAAAGACATAAAAGAGCAATGATGGAACTTCTGACTGTCGCAGGAGACAGCCTTCAATTCCCTTTGAATTGTTTTTTTGGACCCCGAAAAAATGAACATTAAAAAAAAAAAAAAAACAGTTCGTGCGGGGTAAGGCTATCCCCAAAGTCACCCGCACGAGGGCTCTCAAAATGACAGCATGTAAAGCCGTGACAGTTAAGCCGACCCTATCCCTAATGTTTGAATTTGAAACTTTGACTTTGACTTTTCTTTCTCCAGCTTTCGACCCTTCCTAAGCCACACGCCATTTATTACTTTTTTAAAAAAATTATAGAGTACTCTACATCATATTTTTTTAATAAGGAAATATGATTTTATAATTTATTTATTGATTTTTATCTTATAAAATAATATAAATGTATTTGAATCAAATTTCACAAAAAAATTACAATTTTTTCCATACACACGTTCATCAGTTACCATGTTTTTTTTTTTTTTTGGGTCAAATCATCTTGCATTTGATATTTTAGAGTAATCAGGATTTGAGAGGGTGAAGCCATAATAAGGCTTAAATCTGAGGCTTTGTTAAAAATAACACGTGTTGAATTTTTTTTTACCACTCGATTTAACAATGATTGATTAATTTTGCTCCTTTCAATGATTCAATAAAAAGGTAGAAAAATAATGATAGAAATCAGTGATGCAACCTTTTATTATTAAATTAATAAAATATGGACAAACACAGGAGGGTCTTGCTTGCACGCATTCACATTTGGACTGGGGAGCTGTGTGAAACCGCGACCGTCAAATTGCTTTTCGTGAGATTCTTTTCATCATTATTTTAATTAATTAATTAATTCACTGCACTGATATTAATATTACTGTTATCAATGGGGTTAGGTACAGTGAAATAGGCTAATTCTCAGTAATGTGTAATGTGATTAACAAATGTTTGAATCTTTATTCGGAGAGATACTCATATTTAATACTCTTCCGGTCCTTAATGTAAAACCCATTTAACTAATTGATTAGATTAGATTAAGGAAGTTAGGTAAATTAGTTAATTATAAGAAAAGTGACACATTTTTCCTAAAACACCATAATCATCTTTCTTAATACCCCCTCTCTCTCTTCTACTTGATTATAGTTGAGGGAGTATTCATAGGGGTAATTTAGAAAAAATTGATAAATATGATAAATGGGTCTTATATTTAGGACAAAAGCCAACTCAAAAATTAGATCCTATATTAAGGACCGGAGGAGTACTTAATAGTGACTTGAACATGATTGCTTTTAATGAAAAAATATCTGTGTCTACCAAAAAAAATACTCCTCTAGTTATTAATATAAAATTTAGTCAACTAATTTGATTAGATTAAGAAAATTAGGTAAGTTAGTTAATTATAAAAATGTGACATGTTTTTCTTAAAATACCATAATCATTTTTATTAATACTTATTCTCTTTTACTTGATTATATTTGATGGAGTATCTATAACGGTAATTTAGAAAAAATTACCAAATATTCACACTGTAATTAAATCAGTCACCCTCAGTTATCTCAACTCAACAGGTTTTATATTTAGAACCAAAATCAACTCAATAACTAGGTCTTATCTAAAAAACCGGAGTATTACTGTTTTGTTTTCACATTCACGAAAAGTCAAAGAACACGCAGCACACCATTGTCAAATACATATTCACACTGTAATTAGATCGGTCACCCTCAGTTATCTCTTCAAGTCGTTGAGTTCTCAAAGATGTTGATTTCTTTGTGGTTACGTTAGCTGCGCTTCTGGAAAATTTCAGACCACATGTTCGATCCGTTCACAAACAAATGGCCTCTCCTCAGTTGCTTAATTAAAAAAAGACAAACAGAAGCGACTAGTCACTAGCAAACAAATCAAAATTTTTTTTTTTCGTCAAAAGCAAACAAATCAAATTTAAAATCTTCATTGACAGAGGTAGACACATACAGTG